CAGCGAGAATGCATGCTGCTTTTTCCACTTCTCTAATCTAAACTCCCTCTTTCTCTCTTCTCTCTCCTCTCAGTGAAAGCCCAGGGGGGCTTGTTCATATTCTCTCCTCTTATTGTGTTTCATCTCTTTCCTTATGACACAGAACTATCCCCCCAGAGTATCCAGCTTTCAGCCAGGGAGCTGTAGAAAACGCATGGTTAACCCCATTTTATTCTGTCTATTCAAAGGTTCCCTGACAAAGCTCTAGTGCCCACAGCAGATAAGACATCATTGCCAAGGAGCAGAAAGGGAGGTATGGTATGCATTCACCAAAATTAAAGAGAAGGTCATTTTCTGCAACAGGAGCAGTATTTCCAAGCAAGATGTTGCACCATAATGTGCATCTTAAAAAACAATGGAAAAGCCCACTTGCTGAAGCTTATTTATGAAACAGCTGTTGGGGAAGTCCTTTGCTGCCGTACTTCTGGCTGAGAAAAGTATTTGCTCTTAGATGGGTTACTTTAAGGTTTCTAATGTCTGAATAAAACTTCAGTGGATAATTTTAGCATCATGCTACGTTAACCTTCTGTCAATGATAATCTGAGACATGAAAACTATGAATCATGTAATAGCTAATTTAGGTGCGAGACAGTGGAACAAATGCCATAGCCTTATATACTGCTGGTGCACACGCAGACTGTGTTTCACTTTGCTATTAAATAAGTGAAAAATCACTCGAAAGTAGCAGTTTACTAAATTGACTCCCAAGAATAAGAATACACCAATAATATGTAATACAGCTGTCAAAAAGAGGGGGTCATCAACTATAAGATATGACACATAAAAATGCAAATAGTTAGATGGTATAAAAAGAGGATATGCAGGGAGGAAGGCTCCTTTCCACTGCTGTATCTGCAATGACCTCATCTCTCGTGCACCCCACTCTTTTTCCCGTGCTCTTTTTTCATTCTCTGTCTATCTTTCATTTGTATCAAGCGTGCACTCCCACTGCATCTCTCAAGCACATGCACCCTCATCCTCGGTCACCCTAACCACCTCATTTCTCCAGCCCTCCCTCTTCTCCAACTCTCACTCTGTGCGTAATTCAATCATCCCAAGGAGATGGATATCCGTCCCCTAGGAGCGCTTACGCTCTCCATTTCCTAAAGCGCTTGATCAGATTAATTGATTGTCCCCTTCCCATACCCACCACCAGCATCTCTGCGCACCCCTTATACTGGCCGAAGTCAGTGTGGTGGCGGAGGACGACCAGAAATCAGGTTTGCATTGATATTTTTATAAAATGGCTTTTTCCTGCTGCCCCTAAGCAGGCCTTGGACAAAAGGGAATAGATAAAGTAGATGGGCTGGGAGAGGGGAGGGGGCAGACAAGCATGATTAAAAAAAAAAAAAGGAGAATAAAACAACAACCCGGAAGCATACAAGAGAAACACAGAGCTGAACATAAGATCAAGGGACAAGATAAAACAGATAAGCGATCAATGAAATGAAATATACAAGACTGTTTAGGGGGTTTATAGTACATGTGAGGTGAACGCGTGTGCATGTATCTGAGTGCCACGATGTCTGGCTGTAAGCCTGCAGAGCACAGCGGAGGGTAGAGATGGGGAGTCAAACCAAGCCCCGCAGGGAACGCAGGAAGACCTCAACTCATCCATTATAACTGAGAGCCAAACGGCTGCCATGTCTCCTGATTGCTGAGTCCCTGTGGAGCTCTCTCTCTCTCTCTTTGTCTCCCTCTCTCTGTTCCCTCTCTTTCTCTGTCGCTCTCTTTTTGGCACCAGGGATCGCTGTAGATTACACTGCTGTTCCAGGCCTTTGGCTGCTACGTTATGGCAGTGGCCAAATACAAGCACAAACCATACAAGCACTCATGCACACACACACACACACAACACGGCACACAAACACACAGGCACACAAAAACACATAGACAGGGATAGGAACTCGCTCGACACTCTCTTATCTACCTGCCGCACATGTTCCCCATACGTGTAAAGCTTTTACCTGAGCGCCCCATTACAGCTGAGGCTTTTACCTCTGGAGAGCCAAATTACCTTTCAGATACAACCTTCCCTTTTTCAACTTGCCCTTGACATTTGGTTCACTTGCTTTCCCCCTGAACATATAGACTCAACCACACATTATAAAGCCACACATACACCGGCAAGCTACACATACAGTCACAAAGCCGCACGTCTCTGTGATCATAATGGATCACCCGCGCCTAATAATTCCCACGCATTTATAAGAAGTTTTGTTCTTCAGTTAACCAACTACTCCTTAAAAACCCAATTACACACTTTTTAAAATATGAACATTAATTTATATGAAGACCTGTTAAATTATTTGGTTGGTTTGGAGCCCATTCCCCTGTGAGTGAATGCTATAATCTGCAGTTATGCACAGCGGTGCTCACAATTCCACACTGCCCGCCCAGCGAGATGTGGAGGAGAGTTTTATCTATTGAGTCACTCTTGAAGAAAGCATTTAGTGAGTGAAAGAGACATTCTTTTAGCGGTACTTGAACCGACTAAAAGGAAAGCACGAGTGAATTCTGGTCTGACATTTCACAGTTAACAGTAAAGAAGTTTCCAAAAGTCAAAAACACCAACCTGCTTTATTTCACAACAGTGTGTAAAAAGTAAGTTAGAGTCTCCTCTCTGATTTCTAACTGTCAAAGGAGTCACATGCAATGTTGTAGCATAAAAGTACTCTAATTAGCTGGTTAAATAGGGAAAATCCAAGTACTAATAAAAATGTAAAAACAACAACAAAGAAGAAGAGGTTAAAGGCAAAATCTAAAATATTTTTTTCAAATAAGCTTCATGTTCATGATGAACAATCGCACAAAAATGTCTGATCACAGGAGCAACTGGGAGTAGTTATTGTTTTATTCTGGATTTATACATGTAGGAAAACCAGTAGTGGGAATAGCGCCTTCTTCGCTGCCACGTAGCAATGTTTGGGAAACAAAATGTGTTGCCAGTAAGTTATGACATATCTGATTTTCCACCAGAATATTAACTCGTGCAACTGCCTACAGCCCCAGCGCCGGGCTACTACACTGTAAGAGGAGAAATGTTAATAACGTGTAGCTGGTGATTCATTGAGAGGCCAGTAACACATGCTGCTCACCCTGCTGCTCAGAAAGACTATGACTATGTACTGTAAGTGGAAATAGGGAAAAAAGGAACTACCTGTCTGCACCTTTACAAGCGAAATGCTGATATTGATGGCAAAGATTTGTTTGGCTGTGCATGAAGCCTGTTTGTCTATTTTGTGGTCAATTTGAGAAGTGTGTGGCGTTGATGTTTGCTGCTTTGCAGAGGTAAATAAGCATAAAAAATCTTTGTAGGGGGCTTGAACTGCTGACCTGAATGCACAGACTAATCAGCTGATAGTAGAAGCTGATATGTACAGCATACACATATATGCTCACAGTCTGTATACATGGGCACACAAGCTAAATAAACATAGCAGTCATTTTTCTTTGCGAAAGGCTCTCTCTGTTTCTTACCTTCCCCAGACTTTTTATTTGCTAGGGGGCTGTGTTTTCAGACTGGGATTGATCCTGAGCTGCCGTCTTGAACCCGTGCCCCGAGGGCAGCTCAGTGCAAACACGCAGCAACCCCTCTCCACTTACTCCGATCATAGCTACACTTTTTGTTATAGTATACCCACACACACACAGTGCAACATGGGCTGCCTCCAGTAAACAAGAGGCTGGCTAAAATGAGTCATATTCAGCAGGTTTCCCAGACATGGATTAAAGCTAGTCCTGGACTAAAAGATCACTTCAGGAAAGCCAAAACGAACATAACCGCCAAAGATGCTTCAAAGTGCAAGCCCTAAGTGTGAACGAGCACCCAGGAAAACCCTTCTCTTACTGAGGATTTAAAAAATGATGAGGCTGTGTGTAAGTGCTGGGAGGGAGGATCAATAAGCATAACAGCAGCACTGAGTATGACAGCAACAATTACATACACCACATCCCATTTACTGAGTGTTTTTTTCATCGGCAAAACACAAAAGAAATCCATTACCTTTTTTCCAAACACATAGATTCATTTGAACACTTTACATAAATAATTCATTCAAAGGGAGATGCTTTTACAGTGTTTTCACCTGAAGACAGCTAACTAGCAAGAAAGCTCACTCACCCACCCACTCACTCACTCCTTCTCCCTTTGAAGTAGGAAAAAAAGAAAGAGAAAGGGGGCATAATTTGCTTGATTCATTTATCATTGCTTACTATGAATAAATGCCATTAAGCATAGCGGCTGCATGCAGTTGTGAAGTTATGGAATAGCTGGCAGCATAGTGGGAGCAGAAATAAAGCAACATGGTGATTAGAAAAAAAAACCCAAAACGCATCAATCCTACCCACGCTGCAACGGTTCAGAGCGGAGTGTTGAAACACACATATACAATAAACTTGCAAATGCATACGCAGTCACTCCCTGAGTTTTCGCTGCGACTGCCCTGAGTTCCTATGGAGTTTGTGATTGATGGATTCTCTGACTGGTGCTGTGGGACAGGTGAAGCCTTTCGAGTGAGCTAATCTACACTGCCTCCTACAGGATAACAGCCCACACTGGGCCCGTGAATATGTGAGAAACTGTCATCTTCACCTCAGCCGAGTCGATAATGATGACAATAAATGGTGTTTGCACAGCACTTATCAAGTCTTCAGATTCAACCGTCACATGTATTTGACAGCAAAGATGGTTTGAAACATTAGATAGTGCAAAAAAAAAAGAAAAAAGACTTTAGTTGTATTTCATTCCAGAATTGAGATTGTTGGGGTTATTATCAAAGGATGGCCTTGCTGAGGTTGTCAAGACTTTCATTTGCTGCTATTAGCTTTGTATTGCTCCCAAAGGTTATTTAAAGTATCTTTTTTTTCCTGACATACAGTGTTACAGCCTTTGCTTCAATACATTAGATTGTGAAAACCACAAGGATAAGTCATCTCTTATCAGAGTGTAGCGTCCCTACCTTCCATGCAATACTGTTCCCTCGGTTTTCATGTTTCACTGCAATCGGAAGCTCTCCACGCTCGTAGTATTTGCGGAATGTGCTTGGTTTGGCAGGGCACTCATGAAAAACCCTGGAAGCTCTGGGACCCACCACCTGGTCAGGCAGAAAAGAGAAAATGGTAATTAAGAGAAAGGAGCAAAATAAAGATTTAAACAGAAGGAGACATGCACAGTGAGTAAGAGTGTTGTTTTATGAAATCAGAATTGACTGTGTTTTCTCCTACAAGAATAGAATCACTCCCACTGCATTTTCTTTAAAGTAATTCGGGGAGACACATGTGCCTGCTCTTCTGCTCCTCCAAGGAAGGCAAAACACTGAGCGAGTGTGTGCGTTTGTGTGTGTCTGCACTGGCCATGTAGCCAGAGGCACTGCCAGAGGCATTGTTAGGATCATCTTTTCTCTGCCTCCATATTGGATATGTGCTATTACTGTGCCACTGAAAGCCAATGGGACTCCTAACACATCAGCCACAGTGTCTGCCACTATTGCTATGGGATCCATTGATGGTGGCGCCACATAAGATATGTAAGTAAATGCAACACCCCTACAAAATAGAGCAAGTAGAGAAAATTATTTTTTAACAATTTCCATGTGGAGCTGTGCCGGTGGATGATGATCTCTGGGGACTGACCATGCTTGGTGTGATTGCAGATAGCTGGCCAATCACAGCAACTTTCCCATTAATCCATTCAGTTAAGATCATCAGATTAATATGAAATTTAATATGCCTGACTGTAGTCATTTGTGACAACGGCGTGGACACACACGGTAACACGCTCACACCTCTGCGATCTTTGATGTGTTCCCCTCATCTCAAAAAATGAGAGACAACAGCCTTTCTGTCCTGTGTCTTTACAGAGATGCTAGTTTAGCCCAACTACTAAAGTTTGTTCCACCGAATGTGTGTGTTTGTCTGTGACACGCTGTGTGGGGAAAGAATAGTAAAGAGTTTTATCACACCTATATAAAAACAGGCTGAATGACTTAGCGGTACTATAGTCCTAAAGACAAATAAGCATAAAAAAGCCATGTTTAATATTATGACTTTACATGGTCTTTCGATATTCATCTGTTTATGGTCACTAATTACAATAGACTGAATTGCTGAATAATTTATGTGAATGGGGCTCTCCTGCTGGTATATCCTCACGTGTTTCTCATCACGCGGAAAGTGGAAAATAATCTCCCCACGGTCTCTCTCTTTCTTTCTCTATTTCTCTCTCTCTGTCTCTCTCTCTCACACACACACACACGCACACACACACACACACACGCACACACACACAAACACAGGCTGTGTGTGGGTTTTCTTGTGTTTGGGCTACACAGTGTGTATTATAGAGGGTGGGTAGTGCTACCATAATGGGTAGAGATTAAAAACATCCCCCTTCCTGGCAACACTAGCACTGGGTACTGGTGATCACACAGGGGGGCGATAAGGCTATGAAGGAGATCGCCCCAGCCCTAGTCCCATGTTACAGTACTACTGGGACACAAGAAATTGAACTTTTTTATAGCCTATTATTGTTTTCATAGGTGACACATATTTTGGGGACTTCAAAATATCCTCTCAGTGATATGAGTGGAGAGACTATTTAAGCTGAAGCAGCTGGATTTGTTAAATCGTACAATAATGATCGCCGTATATGTATGTGTTTGTATGTATCCTGTCTTTCTTTTATTGGATGGGCAAATCTGAACAAAACTTTGCACAAACACTGTTAAACAACATCTGTAGGGTTCTAAAAAATGTGTTACGATTCCAGATTTTTTTATTTTCATATATATTATGTTAATCTCATTACCTCCCCTGTGAATGGTTCATTTTTTGATTGCATTTGTTTGTTTATAATTAAGACTAAAATAGTACACCTTTGCAACGACACAGTGTAGTGGATGAATGGCAGAAAGCCAGAGTCACTATTTTCCCCATCTGTGTCCCTTGTGTGCATTCCTTGCCATCTGTGTCACACTGCCACATGACTGTCAGATGTGTGGATGTCATTAATCCTCAGATTACCACTCTTGGAGGAGCTGAATTATGCCACAGAGACCCACACACAGAAAAGTGGGTCTGGGATGCGTTATCTTTGGCAGGACATCCTCAGATGGCTGTCCAATTTGACAGATTTTAAAGAGGATCCGAGTTATTACATGCTACTCAAAGTTTTCATGTTACATCACTCACTAGTGTTGCCTGTTGGTGACTTGAGTTCAATTTAAATACTAGAAGGGCACTAGGAGAGCGTATCCTTCACCAAGGCCAATGAGTTCACCAAGCTTCGTGAATTTCAGCCTGGTAGGTTTTGCATAATCTTGCTGACAGACAATCATCGCGATCGTGGCTCAAGAGTTGGGAGTTTGCCTTGTAATCGAAAGGTTGCCGGTTCGAGCTCCTCCTCGAGTTGTGTCCTTGGGCAAGACACTTCACCTGTTGCCTACTGGTGGTGGTCAGAGGGCCCGATGGCGCCAGTGTCCGGCAGCCTCGCCTCTGTCAGTGCGCCCCAGGGCAGCTGTGGCTACAATGTAGCTTGCCATCACCAGTGTGTGAATGTGTGTGTGAATGGGTGGATGACAGGTTGTGCAAAGCGCTTTGGAGTCCTTAGGGACTAGAAAAGCGCTATACAAATACAGACCATTTACCAAACTGCACTGAAAACATACCTCTGCCTGGCTCTCACTTCGGAGCAGGCAGAGGTATGTAGTTGTATAAAAAATTACAACTCCAAATGTATCTCAGTAAAACTGCCACCAAGGAATGATGCAACGTGGATCAACTTTAAGCTGCGCGTGCAATACGGTGTAGTGGGTGCCAGGATCAATAGACTATGGAGAAACAAAAAAGAGAAACTACCGTGAGGGACCCCAGGTGAGTGTCGTCGAGCGCTCAGTGCATTTAAACAGCCCTAATGCACCGTGGGATTGCAGCACAGTCATTTCAAATGAATCCGTTTGGAGCATTTGTTTACCATGCCAGGGAATACTGAATAATATTATGCTGATTAATAGGCACAGGTTTGTATAACTGCAGGAAAAAGACAACCCAAACAAAATGTCTGTGACTAACAATGCATGTAAAACACAAGAAAAGGCACTCTGCAGTACCGCTGCTCTACTAGTCTTAAGGAATCCCAGCAAACACGTATACCTATTATCAGGCTGTTATTTTGAGTTTAAACTCAGTTACATTACCATAAATGTTACCTATTGTTTCGAATAATCCCATCAACAGTGCCCTTATAAAGAGACTTTTCCTTTTTATTAGACTCAAAACCAATTAGTCTATAATTGCTTGGATTGCTTTAACTTAGCATTTTCATGAATAGAAAGTGTCAGCTTGCCTCATTAGAATTTTATTTCTGCCTTGTCACATCATATAAGTTAATACAACACTGGAATTGTTGTTTCATTTAGACTCTGAAGCCCACACCACTATTATCTGTTTGCCTTCTCTCTCTCTTTTTTGTGTGTTTTCTCATTCTCTTCACTGTTGGAGTTTTTTTTTCCCTTTTTTCCAGCTGAGGAAATAACTGAGGAAATAGGAAGCTGTAAGGCTTGCAAGATCACTGCTGCTCCAGCCTGCAGGAGTGACAAAGCCCTCATATCCAGGTAGCTACGGCGGTGGTTGAGCCACGCTGCACGGGGAGGCTAAAAATAGCTCAGACTGTCCAGCGAGGAGAGAATGAAGCCAGACTGCATTGACTGGCTGAGCAGCTTTTATGGTCAGGAATGATGACGCTGCAGTCAATTCAGTGGCCTGCGTTGCAAGCTTCACAGTCACCTCCCTGTTTTCTCTTCAATTATCATCACCGGCAGACAGTTCACGTCCACATTCATATGCATGTGTGCATATGAATGTTGCCAAACACAGAAGCCCCTTCCCCTTTGTTACTGATATAGGCCACCATTCCCAGCAGCTTACAGAGAACTATAAGAGGAATAGTGTTGTGGGGAGATTACCACCTGCTGTCTTCCAGATGTCATTCCTGTTATTTGCCTGCTGCTTTTCTGCCATTTTTCAGAAGTGTTTCTAAAGCTTTTGTATGCTGTGAGGAAACCCACAACAAATAACTAGCCACTAACTTTGTTTATCTCAATTTGACTCCTGACATATACTCTATGAGGAAAGCTATACAATCCTCACTTAAGCGACGTCTATGTGTGAGAAACTCTGTATATCTGCGAAAATGTGTTGATAAATTGTAAATATTAGCCTGGTCTTTTCTTCATTCTGTGATTTAGGTTTATCCTGCAATCAAAGTAAAAATTGTCATATAAGAACAGGATTTGATGTTATAAAAAATGTGAGAAACCTTCTTTGCAAACCTAAAATCATCCCTGTTCTAAAACACTGGCATAAACAGAGAAAAAGAAAAAGAAAAGGCACACAACAGGAGCCTATACACAGACCTGCACAAAAAGATAACCTCCCGCCCCTCTGTAGAGGCCATAAAGAGAGTCTGCAAGACAACAGACTACAGAACAGAGAGAGGTGGTGTAAGGCAATAAGTGTCTGTTTTGTGTGCCCCTGGAGCACATATCAGAGAGTCATAACAAGGCAGTGCTGGTCAGATGAGCTCCAGGCTGTCATTTCTCTCCTTCGTCTTCACTCTGCCTCCAGATCTGTTTCCTCCCTAATGCTGTTGTCCGCTCCAACTACATTCACCGTAAACCTGGCTGCCGTTAGAACCACCGAGGCAGTAAAGCACAAACACGCGCTCGCACACCACACATGCTGAGTTCCCCACGGGCAAGCCGAGCAGAGGTGTGATTGAACAGCAGCAGGGCCTTGTGCTCCTGTCATTTATAAAGGTGTCATCATGAGAAACAGAGATGCTCCCTCTAACCTTATTAGTATGGTTCTCATAATGTTGACATACAGAGTGAAGTCGAGCACCCAAAAACAGGCAATATAGCAATATATGCGATATTGTATATCGTATAAAAATTATTTCCCAAGACATTTCTCAAATGGAGGTTATTTTGGTTCAGGGGTATTAGCATTTTTCCTTATCAAATAATCAGAAAAAACAGGAAAATGCATGGATGCCTGTCAAATAAGCTGACGCACTCATGGGCTTTATTGTACGCGA